AAGTAAAGTTACACAACATTAATTAATTAAACAATCAAATTTGTATTTTATATTTTGACAGTTTTTCCAACATGTTTGTTTTTGTAACTTGTTTCACATATTTTTTTAATTTTATTTAAGCCTCCTATAATATAGATTTGCGTAAAGCATTCAAAATTGTATCGCATAATGGAATACAGAATATTTCAATATGGCAACTAGTTTCGACTCTCTAAGTAGTTATCATCATCAATGTTTCGCATATTTTTCCAATCAAATACGATCAACTTTAGATTTCAGATAGGAGTTGGTGTTTTTGAGTGTTCTTCATTCAGACTGGGATGGTGGCGATTTATAGGCATGAACTGTGGATGCGATACTCCCTTATGTGGATTAACTTTCGCACTTGTGAGTACTACGACGATCCGTAGTACTATCCTGATAATTAGACCAGTTTGTTAATTAAGAAGGAAAATATGGTTCAGATTCCACTATAAACTGTAGGTATCTTAGTTACCATTGGCTGTATGGGCTATTAATTAACAGCTGTGTCTAAGGAACATGTCGGCCTTAGTAACTAACAAGACTACAAGATCGTGCCACTCATCTTACATTCATCTCCATTCATACTTGGCTTAAAATACCTACATTCGTATGGTCACCATTTCATAATAAAATATTAAAGTACTAACCCTAGCCTATATTTCTAACAAAATAATTATTGTGAACATTTGAATACAATAGGTTAAAGACAAACTACAAAATAAAAACGCTCACATTGACCAGTTAGTGCATATTATATTATTAAACACACATCTATAAATGATAAATCACTTTAACTATTTCAAGAAGTGAAACAGGGGTGTACCTGGATTAGTATGTTTATGTGCAGTTCTCCGCAGCTACTCATCGAGAAAAGCCAAAAGTCGATACAGTACCTCCTCGCTTTTTCTGTATCATAGATGACATACTATTATCAGAGAAGAATTGACTTGTTTCATTAGTGAAAATACAAACATAACCAAATGCAGGTATATTATCCGATTATACTTTCTATTTGGCCTAGCTTGTATGCTTTTAGAAAATATATTGTTAAGTACAGGATATATCCATCATTGTGTGGTGTCCAGTCATTGTACTTTGTACACTGTACAGCCACAATTGACATTACAATCTACGCATAGAACCCTTTGATTCCATATCGTAAAATAGCTTTGTAATAAATAAAACGTAATACTGTACATTTGTGTTGTACAATATCTGTAATATTTACTCCCACAATATGGCGCTGTGAAAGTGACGTTAATTCTTCATGATTTTCCCTCGGATCGAATTTAATTAGATTATTGGTTCTCGCGATTTCTATGATATATTGTTTCGATGTGAAGCGGTGCCCTCCGGCTTTCGTTACTAGACTTACAGCTTAGGGAGAAAAGCACATTTAGATTACGTCATACAGGGCGCGCACCAACATTGCATGCGATTCACAATGTTCGCAATTCAGTAAAAGTAGTGGAGTTTCAGCATTCGACGTGCGACATCGACGAAAGCTTGACCATTTCGGTCACTCTCTGGCCAATAGCATGGCCTTGCGCACGGGTTCGAGTAGACATGCGTCCAGGTTTCTCTTCAGTACATGCATTGCCGGTGGCCAAGTATCACATCAATGGCTGGGCAGCATGCCACTAACTCTTTATTGATAACAACTCTCCCGCGGATAACGAAACTGCAGTACTACAGAGAAAACTTTTTGTAAGGCTGACTTTTGTGTTACGCAGTAGTTGTAACTAATGTAGATTTTAGGTAAGGCTATTAACCCATAACACCCCATAACCCATAACCCATAACAGGTGTTATGTTATAGCATAGAGGACTCCATTAATCTATGCTTATAGCCTAGAAAAGTTCTAAAGGCTAGATTTTTGCCTAGTGTGGGTGCCCCATTGGTGGGTTTGCACCCATGTATATGGGGTCATTTTATAGGGCCGTGTATTTTGGGCCGTATACATTGGGCCATATTTATATGGGTCTATGTATAAGGGGCCATGTATATGGGACTATGTATATGGGGCCCGCCAGTGACCGGATGTGCGTCCAGGCACGTGCTCACTTCGCTATAAATCAGGTTTTTGAATTCCAGCTTGGAGACGGCAGCAATTACTTTAAAGCGTTAAAGCCATTAACCACATCACCAATTAAGAGTTATTGCTACACCTCATCCTTTTTCGACACAGTAATGGCCAACAACTATATTACATTTTGATTAAAATAGCGCTCTACTCTATTTTAGGAATACATCTTTTAAAATCATTATACCGTAGCCGGTTTTAATTTCGTCATATAATTTTCAATTTGTATAAATTCCAGCTAATGATTGGTTTATGTGTAAAAAGTAACAAAAATGAGTATGCATATCCTACTATGTCATTTCCACATAGCATTTTCCAATTTTGTGGTCAATTGTCCGATTTATTATTTTTTGCCGCTGAAGCCTTTTACTTACTCTACGACAGTTCTTTTCTGATAAGCAAGTTTCTGTAATTTGAGCCGTCATATGTATTGGAAATTTCCTGTGGACTGAACACGTGCATGCATTACTATGGCGCCGTGGTGGTGAAATTGTGTCCATCATGCAACAAACATCTGACTTAGCGTCGCGACAGAATCAGCAGCTGCAGCGCAGTCAGCAGTCAGCAGTCAGCACTCCCGTCCGTGATGTCATTCACCAGGAAACACGCCAATACGTGCAGTGGTTCCCTGTTATAATTTGTAGAGAATCTTATGTCATTCGAAACAAACAATATGCTTGTGTACCTGTAATCGTTATCTTCTAAACATATCCTGTACATAAATCTGGAACATTCCTAAACAACACCGTGTGTTTGAATTCGTCTATTCATTTTGGCAAGCGTAAAATATATATATATTTGTCGAAACGAATTTTCATACAGCAAACTAAATAAATGTTAATTGTCCGTACATATTTATAAAAATCTTCGTATACAAGAACTACCGTATTTTTAAAATTGTTAAATGGATATACTGTATTTTGATCTTGACTGAAAAGTACAGATTTACTTGGAATGTTCGTCTTTTTACGCGACATATTTAATATCAGTTATAACATTTTTATGGGGTTACTGGATACTCGTCTCCCTTCATATGCATATGTATTTCGTTCGTCAAATGGCACTTGGTTTTTATAAAGGTGCACAAATAAAGATAGATTATACGACAGAACACTACTTGTTTTCAATGTAGGCCTACTGTTCATTTTGACTAGAGCGCTACTATCGTTGGTCAGGATCTCCTCCTCGAAAAAATTTTCCAAAATGTGTTTTAGGTAAGTGCACTACCGTTTAGCAGCCATATTGAAGTTTGACGTTCGAATTACTCGATAGATAACCATAATCTGAAGAGGAAATTTCTACATTTCCTTAAAAAATCTTTACCACATATAATTTTTTTCTGGAGGATCCAGAACTCTGTTGCTGTTGCTGGGCAGGAGCGGTTGGCTGAGGTGTATGGAAATGAGAGCCAGCCATTGACACTCACTTTCCCACAGTCACAGTACTATACCGTCCACCGTCGCAGCCCAGTGTCGGTGTAGTCCAGTTGAAGGTCAGCAGCCTCAGCCACACACACGTGCGAGTCAGCCTCAGTCACCGCTCAATGAAATGCCGCTGGAACGGGTTTCGTGCCAGATTCCAATATGAATGTAGAGGCTGAATTATTTTAGCGATGTTCATCTTTGCAAATGAATGAAAGATGGAAAAAGACTTCCAAAATGAATAACATGTTTATGGTAAGACATGGACTTGGTGGGATGTTTTCTTTCGTCAAACGTCTTTTTTTTAATGACTCTGTATACTATGTATTTTTCTCTTACATCGCATACAATGACTTTCTTTCTGAGCCCTGGTAACGCATCGTTAAACAGAGGAATTTTAGTTATTCCAGAAACGTCTATTGGTAGCAAGGAAGTTTCTTGCAATGGTCGCAATTGAAAGTAGTTGTATACATGACTTGTACCTCCTCCTTGGCTGAAGAACACTGCTCAGCGACTGTCCGAGTGTGTTCGGCATAACAACACGTCTTCAGCTGGTGGTCATTGCACTATCCCGTAGGCTTTCCCTTTTCTTGCGTTGAATAAACGATTCTTAGAAAGTTCTCTTTGATGCACCTGCATTCTAAACTGCGGTTCGTCGTTGCATTGTAGATTGTTTTCAGCCGACTGTTGTTAAGTCTTAAGACGTTCCCGGATTTATTTTTTTATTTAAGTGTAAACTTTTTTGAAATACAGTTCAATCGAGTGGACACCAGCTAAATGTAAGTTCAATCCAAGAAACTCGCAAGATGACCCATGAAACAGTTGTTAAGATTCAAGCTGATAATATATTTTTCTGGTATATTTATATTAATCATCTTTATTGACCTAGTCAACCTGGTTACGGTTGCACCATCCTTGTTGGGTCTCTGCAACGCCGAACTCATTGAAACGGCCAGTTCCAGTATGCCGTCTGGAGATTCACCAGTACAGTACAGTACTGTACTGCTGTATTCCAGCATGTACATATACTATATACAGCGGTGGCGGTGGTAATCGTTGTTGAGAGATACAGTGAGGTCTGAGGTGACTCAAGCCGCCTCCTCTACAGTTTGTCCCTGACACGGTGATTCACAGAGATCTTCGATTTGCTGCGATTGTGAACCAGATGGCGACACCTCTCCTCACGTAGGCTGACACTGTATCCGCCATCCGGTGCATAAAACATCACCTTCGACCTACAATAAACACCACAAACATGTAACTTCTTGCATGCATTCGCACAGTTAATACCATGAGAAACCCCTTCTTAAAATGATTACTGTACTTGATAAAGACATAACATAGCTTTATATTATAATGTGAATTCTATACTGGTCAGTTATGCTGTATTATCAGAGAGTGCTACTCTTTTTTGTACTAATGATTTAGTTACTTCTTGCAAAAGAATCATGTAGGTTGTTTTTATTTTCAGCCGGGGGAGCATTCAAGACTTTGTATCAAGCGCCCTAAACAACTTTCGTTTGCCTCTGACGTGGTAAGTATTGGGACATACTGTGTACTTTTAAGAAACTCAACACAAAAGTGTTCAGGGAAATTTCAATATATGCAGTAAATAATTGATAGTCCTTAGCCATCTACCACATGTAGATATGCTTAGAGATTATACTCTTTTGAGCTACACCAACACCATGAAGTACCTATGTGGCCAAATAGTGACTCACAAATATGGATAATGTAACGCTAACATGTCGTGAAGAATATAGTGGTTAGAAGTCTGGAGTTTACAGTCAGACTAATGAAGTCGAAGGGAGGAGAGGTTGTCAGAGCCATATAATTGTCGTCCGCAGTCCGCACGCACAGACCGCTAGCCGCTAGCATTGTGTCTTATCTGGCCATCCGTTCCGCCAAGTCTTGAACTAACGGTGCTGAGTCCCGCCATGTCGAACATCCAACATCCAGCATCCAATGCCAATTTATATATAAATCATATAATATAAAACGAATTACAAATATGAAATAGAGCAGAAGAACAAAATCCATGGGCAATTATTGAAAAAAAGATCCAATCCAAAATTTTTTATTCGACGTTCTTCATTCTTCAGACAAGTCAACATTCTTGATACCATCATCCAGCCATCCCCATCCATCTTTCGTTGTTTCTAAACTGCCATCCACTATCCAACACAACACCCAGAATCCTTCATTTAAAATAACAAGATCTTCATTTCAACCCCTCTCCGAATCCCCTCATCTCCCATCTGCCATTTATCACTTATCACTTACCACTCATAATGTTTCCACTCCATCATCCAGAACTCAAAATCTTTTCTCCTTTTCCATCCATACTGATATACTGATAGGCGTTTGTCTTCTGGTTGCGTTTCCACTTCGTGTTGTCTTTTTCTAAGTTCATTACACAAACTATGAACTAGAGTTACAACTCCAAAATAATGAAACACCAATACCAAAAAAATTTTCACGCCCTCTATATTGTAACACAGCTATAAAACGATTAGTCATAGGCAAGTGTATATGGCGAAGAACTAATGATTAACGATTCACAAAAGAGAAAGGAGAGAGCGTCATCCTTTATAACGACCGTAAAGTCAAGGGTACGTCGGTCATGATGATAGCCGTGATACGGACAGTGGAATAATGAGTTAGAGTTAGTGACATTATGCCTGGACGCGCCACGCTGCCGCAGCCTTCACTACATAAAACATCCGTGTTGTTGTGGCTGTAGGGGCGGAAATCCACACAGAGAAACCCGCATGAGTGCCCAGCTTGCGCGCGGTCCACGTCCGCTCCGGAACTGATTTCAATGTGCATTGTCATCCGTGATCAAAGGTTTATCCGGACAATGGTGTGAGATTTTAAGTCGAATCTGTAATGCCATGATTTACCATGGCAGTTCAGTGCTAATGCACTCGGTGAGACTTGTGAAAACACCTCAACATAGAAATAGGCTGTAAAAGTTAACTTGTTCCAATCCAAAACATGAGTTGGAATCTCAGAAACTTATGCTAGAGAATTTTTTTTAGATATTATAAAATTGAAATAATTTACTCGCCACCGACGCAATCAAACAGAATCAGATGAATAACGTCGGTTAAATGACGACAAATGCCAGGTAATAAATTCCTAAGCTGTGGTCGCTTTGGTGCTCAACGCCTACTTACCGCTCTCTCAATAAGGATCAGATTATCAATTTATGGTTTACTAAGTGTATACGAGTAGACCACCGATGTTTTGGACTATGGCACCAAGACTAACACCAAATTATTGTAATGGGGGCGGAGGAGGTAATGGAGGTTAACAACCGTTTCCGTGGAGGAGGCGGTCCAATTCCTCCGCGTCAGTCACAGTTTCAGGCACTATGCTCGTAACGCTCGGTAAGTCGCAGCAACGTGTTATTTATTTATGTTTTCTCAAAAAGAAGCCCTCTCCGAGAAAGCTCTTTGACATTCGCAACCTCCTTTCTACCTGTGTATACACCTCCCTCTATTTCAATGAAAGTATAAATCTTCTATCGGTTAGTGCACGAACCGTATTAATACTGCTTGTGGTCATCGAGGGTCTTGATAAAACTACTATGGTATTGTCAACCTACGGGACCTGTGAGTTAATACTCCAAACTACAGGGTTTCCAATAAGAGACGCTTGGTTATACCAAATTCAACTTGTAAATTTAGTAAGTTCATGCAATTAAAGAATACTCGTGTGATATCATATCCTACCTCTGTAATCGTGGTTTAGAAGATAGCCTATATTTATTAATGGACGAAGTTCTTTAAGCTAATATTAAATCTTTAGTATCCTCGCTTATCTATTCTTAAGCAATCTAGGGCAACACATTAAACGAAATTGTTACGGGTCATTGCAAAGCATGCCCTTTTGAGTGTTTATTAATGATTTGAAAATGGGGCACATCCAGCCAAATAAGAACTCTGATCCAAAAGAACAGCTTTTACATATATTTTTTAGTTCACAGATACAGAACTTATATGCCTTTCGAATTATGACTTTGACATATATTCATTTAACTCGTGTACACTAATTTTTGGACTTAATAATTCTCAAGCCCCCAGGTAGAGGTATAGAGCCATAATAGATTGGAGCAAGTGTTTCCCCATTAACACCCACTTCGCCTCGCGCGCAGGCCAAAACAAATTGCTGAGTTTTCACGGCTCCCACACCAAAGCTGACCCGGTTTTCTTAATTGCTTCTCTCTCAGATCTAAAATGATAGCGAGGTTATAGCACCAAGATGTAATTTAAGGAAAATTTCTTATTATATATCAGTTAAATTGTAATTATCTGAAAATATTAAGCAATACGTACTCTATTAAAGTTGAGTCGCAGTTTTCATAAATACAGTTATTATTGCGTCAATGTAGTAAGTAACTCAGTAAGCTGTATACGGTTAGTGAATTCCCACACAAAGAAAATTAAATATGTATCACCTGACGGAGAAGGGATGACCGTAACGAGGAAAGTGGGATTCTGTGCATCAAACACATCCCCTAGCATCCATAGGAGTTTCAACCAAATATCAAACAAATCGGAAGAACCTTACAAAGAACCGTCAAACATGTAAATTCCCTTTTATATACATAAATATATACATGTACAAAATACGAACAATAGTCCCGCATAGGCCGTAAAAGACCTGTGCGCGGGACGAGCTCTATTACAAATTAGAAATATTCTTAAAAAATTAAAACTAAATTAATCAAAATACTATTTACAACTAAGCTATGAGACAGCTACAGGAACAGTTAATGCTAAATAAAAGGTAGTCGAGTGAATGGAGTTGCAGTTACTGATATATGTACGCTAAATATTGTTTGGTGTACTTGTGTATAATTATTGTTAGGTATTGTATACTGAACCGATAAGTGTCTCAGACTGATCGAGCCCAATCTCCGACAGCCAACTGCTTACCGAACGTTTATAAACTGGAAGAGATACCTGTAGATCTCTAATCTCTGATGGTATATTCCTATACAAAAAATTCGCAATATAAAAAGCATTAGTAAGGTTTGCAGACTTTAAAACTCGGGGTACCTGCATACCTACATTTACAGCTCCTCTGGTGGAATAGTTATGTGTGATTGGCGTCACTATCAAATCTTGATTAGAGTAGGTACTGTATATACAAGTAAAGTTTTGATAAAAAGTTGACGCACCGAAAGTAATTGAGTGTTTTTGAATAACATTTGTAGGGAAACGCCTGTTGAATTGAAAAGCTATTTTAATAATTAGTTTTTGTATGACAAACAGAGGCTTTAAAATATTGCTACTAGCTCCTCCCCATACTATAATTCCATATTGAAGTACTGATTGGACAAATGCATAGTATAACATTTTTATTTCATTAATGTTAAGAATTTCGCGAACGTTTCTGAAAACATAAATTAATTTCCTAAGTTTTGTCTTTAAATATTCAATATGGGGTTCCCATCTTAACCTACTATCCAATATCACTCCCAAGTACTTGTAATGATCTACTCTCTCCAAATGTAAACAACCACAGGTTGTTTACACACCTGGATCTCCACAAACATGCATCACAAGTCTGAGGTTGGTGGGAGGCTTACTACTTTGTCTGAGGAAAATTGGCATATATTTTGTTTTTAAAACATTCATTGATAATACATTTTGGGAGAACCATTTTTGAATAAGGAACATATCTGTTTGCGCTACATTGAATGTTTGGTCCCAAGTATTACCTTTGAATATAACTGCAGTGTCGTCGGCAAATAAAAAGAGCTTTCCTGTGATTGGAAGTTTGTCTAAATTATTTATGTAAATTAAAAAAAGGGATGGTCCCAGCGTACTGCCCTGGACAACTCCATAGTCTATTTCACGTATATCGCTAAAATTGTTGTTAATAGAAACTAACTGGCTTCGTTTATTCAAATAACTACTAAACCATTTTAGGGCCAAACCACGAATTCCGATGCATTCCATTTTATTTAAAAGAATATTTCTATCAATGGAATCAAATGCATTTGCAAGGTCAATGAACACAGTCAATGCTTTTTCATTTCCGTTAATACACTCCGAAATATATTTATTCATAGCGAAGAGAGCATCACTAGTATTTTTACTCTTCCTAAAACCATACTGGCATTCTGATAACAAATTATTATCTTCCAAATAACAGTGCAATTGTATTTTGACACATTTTTCTAAAATCTTAGACATAACATTCAACAGGGATATTGGGCGATAATTGTTTAACTCTTGCTTTGTGCCAGATTTATACAAAGGAACTACTTTCGCTATCTTAAAACGGTCAGGAAATTGTCCTGAGAGAATGCTTAGATTAACTAGGTGTTTGAGTGGAGGTATCAGTGCCGGAATATTATTTTGTAATAAAATCGCCGAAATTCCATCTATACCAGGAGCAGATCCACCACGCAAATCCCTAATGCACCACTCAAGTTGGCTGTCGGTGACCGGCTCTAGCCGGAACTCATGTCTGACTCTGAACGCTGAATCGTCAACTAGCGGAGGTCCAGCCAGTTGC